AATTAACCAAAAAAAAAAAAAAAAAATGCGAATTGCCAAGAATAGTTAATTTTTTTAAATTAAAAGTTTTTTTTCAAATTTTTAAGTCTTCTCAACAAACTCTAACCTATACTTCGAAATAAATCTCGTAATTGACGTCGAAGACATTACGAAACTTCGATTGGCCATTTGACGAAGATTTCAACATGTTCGTACCAAGTTTAAAATAATTGAGATCGGTCGATTTGAAAATTTCACACGACGGCCGATATAACGAAATGTTCAATCGAGATTTCACACTGTGTATAAGCATCCTGTGATTCGTCCCGGAATTAAATATGGCGGCGTGTTTATTCTTTTTCCTATTCGTTCGTTTGAAACGCGCGCCATTAGTGAGAATTAAAATGTAATGTCGAACTCGTCACTAATTTCATTGCGTGTTGCTTTCAGTTGATACACACACACGCGCGCGCGCGCAACTGATCTTAAATCTTGAATATTCATTCGAAAATGACGACAAAGATGATTAAAGAAAAAAAAAAAACACTCAAAAGGGAAGTCGTACATTGACTCTTAATGACTAATCTCGTTCATTTTGGCAATTTGCAAGACGATGAAGTCTCTTCTCAAGAGAAAGAGGAAAAAAAGAAAGGAAGAAAAGAGAGTGAAAAGTGGCATGAACAGTGAGCGAGCGAGCGAGCGAAAGAGAGAGAAAGAGAGAGAGAGTTGTTTATTTAGGGGGAAACTGTACAGCACGGAAGTTTTGTTAGAAAAAATTTTCTCCACCATTGGATGTACGTATTGAACTCCGTTTTCTAAATCGTCTAGAATTGAATGACATATGGCAATTTCGTGTTACTATCGTAAATAGTATAATAAACCTATTAGGCTGTAAGTTGTTTCATAGACCATTGAACATATGAACTTAAGGTGTGTGCTGATTGTAGCTTCATTGCCATCGCATTGTCGTGTCAGGCGGAGAGGTGTTGCCACTCTGTAAGTGAACATAACAAAATATTTTTCTGTAAATTGAATTGTATTTTTACTTTGAAATTTCTGTGAAACGAAAGAGAAAAAAGAAATAAATAAATAAATAATAATGATAATAATGATAATAATAATAATAATAATAATAATAACAACAGTGTCGATCGAATGTAAGCATATATATATATATATGCGTACGTATATACGAACGAATAAATATGTATCGATATATTTATTTATTCGACGAAACTATATATACACGTATATATATAATTATCTTATAAACGCGTGTGTCTATACCAAAGAAGCGCTACCATTTGTAAATTTCCGTAAAAAAAAAAAGAAAAAAAAAATAAAAGAATGAAAAGCATCCTTGGACCGTATTTTTCTAGACAACTAGGGTCCTTAACTTCTGCCATTAATTGCGTTTCAAATTATTATCAGTTGATTATCGATTTAACCAATTCTAGTTTTCTATTTACGGAAACGACCAGTTGAGAAATTCTTGTTCTTGCCGTAATGTAATTTTTTTTTTTTTCGTGAAACAAGTCGGGAGGGATTATATGTATATACATATATATATATACTTATATATATTAAATAAATCCAACGAGGCTTCTCAGGCTCGAATATAATAATGAGCTAATATCGAATGATTTATGAATCGCAGCGCATGGACCTGGGAGAATGCCCCCAGATTCACGATTTGGCCCTACGGGCTGACTATGAGGCTGCGCAAAAGAAGAAGGACCATTTTTACGATATCGATGTAAGTTCCATTTTTTTTTCTTTTTTTTTTTTTCCTATTATCAATTCTTCGTCAAGTTATAACAGATAATGTGAATACAATCTAAACGCTATTTACCATTTTCGAAGGCAATGGAACATTTGCAAAATTTCATCGCCGATTGCGATCGTCGCACGGAGCAAGCGAAGCAACGACTCGCGGAAACGCAGGAGGAGCTGAGCGCCGAGGTGGCGGCAAAGGCGAACAATGTTCACGTGCTTGCGGAGGAGATCGGCAAGAAATTGGCGAAGGCGGAGCAACTGGGCGAGGAGGGTTTTGTCGAGGAGTCGATGAAACTCATGGGCGAGATCGACGAGCTGCGAAAGAAAAAGAACGAGGCGGAGCAAGAGTATCGGAATAGTATGCCGGCGTCCAGTTATCAGCAACAAAAGTTACGGGTCTGTGAGGTTTGCAGCGCATACCTCGGCATTCACGACAACGATCGCCGCCTGGCCGATCACTTCGGCGGAAAGTTGCACCTCGGTTTCATCAAGATCCGCGAGAAGCTGGCCGAGCTACAGAAAACTGTCGAGGAGAGACGCAAAGAGAAAAGGGAGTCGCTGTTGGACAGGCGCAGGGACCGAGATAGAGACGATCGCGACAGAGATCGCGATGGCCGACGTGGAGGATTGGGTTACAGGGACAAAGATCGCGACCGCGATCGCGATCGTGATCGTGATCGCGACCGTGATCGAGATCGTGATCGTGACCGCGATCGTGACCGCGACCGCG